AGGGTGAAAAGTTTGATAAGTAATTTTTGGAGCTTTTTTTAAATTACCTTGAAGTAGTTTATCTTTAGAGTGAAGAAGATGAAAATCTCCCCAAGTTATGTAACCAATTAAACAATTATAAACATTGTCTTTTATATTATAAGTAAACTATGTAAAGACCAATTTTTTGCAGTGTAATGAATTGTTTCTGATGTTTTTAGCAATATGAACACTATCATAAAATAAGTATATTTTAATAGTTGGACAATTAGGATTTTAAATAAATAAATTTGACTAATTATCATATTTCTAATAAAGTAAATTAAATGGATTTAAATTTGCTTGATGATTGTTAGTAATAACTCCTCGAATTTTAAAACCAGATAAAGAAAACTAATAAAATCTGATATTTTCTCTGAAACCCATTTATCACTAATGGTAACTTTGGGTACTGCTTTTATGAAATAAGGAATAGATTTCTTTAAACTAACAATCATAAATACAACAACTCCTTTGTACAGAGTAACATTGTCATCTGTACCCACGTAGACACGACTACAATATTGTTCTTGTTTTCAAAGATAAAACTCATCTACAATTAGTATTATATCTTCATGTATAAAACCCTTCTCATGTGTTTTAACAGCCTTTATTGCATCAACTCCACCATGTTTAATTTTAATTAATAAAGAAATTAAAGGTAATGGAAAAGATTCAAGTAAAGTTTCACATCCTTGTTTAAATATATATCTTAATAATAAAGCGTGTCTGATCATATTTGCAAAATACTGTGGTTGACCTTTTCTTTTATAGTATATACTACCATATATTTCCTCTAAAAGTATATTTCTATTAGAAGGAGCTATGTTTTTTATGTACGATGCAAGATTTTCTAACATATTTAAACTAGTTAACATTATTTTCTTTGTATTGCAAAGTTACACATAAATAACGATAAATTTTTATTGATTCAAGAACAGAAGGACAATGCGTTAAAGAATCAAATATTAAATTGTACTAAATAACACAAATGAGATGTTTTTAAATTGAAAACCTTCTGCAGAATGTTTTCTGTTTAACTTGTTCCATTTAGTTATATTATCATTTTCAGAAAAAAAAACTTCATCTTTTTGATAAATATGAGTTTTAGGTGGTCTTCTTAAAGCAATAGGTTATAGTAAAGTGGAAGGCCGTTTTAAGCAATCACTAAACTAAGTTTTAGGAATAGGGTTTAAATTCCAATTTAACTTGCAATTTATACCTCGAATAATACACTTTTCATTAAAATGCTTTTCACATAAAACAGAATTTGGAGAGGGCACCCAATCACCACGATTTACAAAACAAACTCAATAATTTAGCATCTGTTGATTTTTCAACGGAAAATGTAAAGAAACAACTTTTATTTCTTCCAAAGAACAGTTGTATTTAGTTTTACATCCATTTGCAACACACTTGTTCATCATAATATTCAGCTTTGCTAATATTTATCTAAATAGCATTTTATATATATATATATATATATATATATATATATATATATATATATATATATATATATATATATATATATATATATATATATATATATATATATATATATATGTATATATATATATGTATATATATATATATATATATATATATATATATATATATATATATATATATATATATATATATATATATATATATATATATATATATATATATATATATATATATATATATATATATATATATACAAAGATTAGATTTTTTCGAACCTTATGGTAGTTTAGTTTTTATTTTGTAAAAAACAAGTATATATTTTCTCCTAGAAAATTATTTAAGAGTTCAATTACATAAATTTTGTAAT